GTATAAATAACGGAATAAAAACACGCACTCAATCTTGCCTTTGCACGCGCGTGTTTGGACATTTTTACGTCCTCCCATTAGGTATCCTCTTCCGCGATTTCGCCTCCCCGTATAATACACGCGCGCGGTAATTTTCCTCCTCCGCAGGCGCTCCGGGAATTTCTCTTTCTCTCTCTCCCTCCTTGGTACACTCGAGCGGCAGAGCTTCGTATTTTATTTATGGAATCCAGGCGCTCTCGTGTATAGATAGTGGAGCAGCTGCGTGTGCACGGAAATGGGCCAAGAAGAAGAAGAGACACCAGTCAAAGTTATGGTGAATATACATGTTGTAGCCGAGACTATGAACAGACGGAACAAGACGAGCGGGGAACAATGAAGTGCTGCAACGTATATAAACGTAACAATGTGTATACGTGTATTACAAGAGAGGAGGAGCGAGTGTATCGGTCATTTTGAGGTCTTTTTGCTTTCCGGGAGAGAGAGAGTGTGCAGGGCCATGGGGTTCAACGATCCTTTGTCCGGACGTCGATTGCTTTCCTCCCGAGGAGCTCGTCCGTCCGTCTTATTCTTCGATGCGTTGTAAATAAGGGACAATCGAACGTCTGTGATCTCTCACTGGTGCCGGAATTTCTGTCCTGAAAAAAAAAAAAAATCTAGTTTCCACTCTTTTGCCCTTGTTTTACATTTTACACGAAACGAGCATTTTACTTTATCTCTTTTTTTTCCCCTCCCAAAGGCACAAGATTGAGAAATCATCGTGACGTACATAAGAGAGAGCGAGAGAGCGCTGAACCCATATTAGGACGCGTGAGCCCGAAATAACCCGAAAGCCCTCGCCATTAAGTCACTTGACATTGATTTCCAGCGAAAATCTAGGGCCACCCTTCGTACGTAGCAACGAGGGGCCAGCATCATCATCCGCAAAGGCCGACCCCTCGGTTATTCGCGGCGTAGCCCGCTTTTAATAAAAAATTCAGCAGAGCCCAACAAAACGACGAGCACATGTATACACGCACGACGTAATAGAGGGGGAGGGGTCGGGAAAGAGATAGAACAGCCGCCCAACAGAAGAGTCGTGCGGTAATAGAGACGTAAAGGTCGTTCGTATTCCCCCTGGCACGCACTGGTATATACATATACACCGCTGAGAGGAGAAGAGAGAAAGGACGCTTGCAGCATTATCCGCCCCCGAGATAAGGCCTTTTGAAAAGACGCGAGCCTACATGTATTACGCTCGAAGATCCATCAAGCCGTAACTTCGTTTCATCGACCGAAGACGACGCTGGCGTCTTTGCCCCCTCCTTTTTTTTTTTTTTTTTTTTTTTTTTTTTTTTTTTTTTTCTTTTTCCGTGCTTTACCGTACACTGCAGAGCGTGCTTATCTCGGCGTCAATTTAACGGGAGGCGCGAGATCGCCCGGAAACAGAGCGAGGGATGGATATTACGGCGTATACCAGCAGCCTACTTGGGAGCTTATCTGCATTATCCTCTCCTGCTGGTGAGCGGTGATTGATACGCCGACGTAGGTACTCCCGACGACCCAAGATTTTCTCGTCTCCCCTGTATTGCTTCAAACTTTTTATTTCTCAATTTGGGCACTCGCTTGTTACTCGGTACGGTGTTTTTTCTTACTAATCGGCGGTAAATAATTTTTTCTCCGAGTTTTCGTGGGGGGGACGGCCAAGGAATTTACTCTACGGTTGTTTGAGTTTTAGGAGAGGTTTTCGGGGTAGCGCGTGTGTGTAACTCGAGGATATGGAAACAGGGGCAGGCAGAGGGACTGTAATTTAAGTGAATTATCGCGTTTGCCCACACCCCCGAGCAGGAGGACGAACAAACATACCCCGAGAACTTTCGAGGGATTGATGCGTCTCGGTGATGATATTTCCTCGACTTGCCGGGTAAACTTTGTTTCTCTTTTTTTCTTTATTTGACTTGTTTTTCCCTTTTCTCGTGATTAATTTTCCATAAAAACGCGTTGTCCAAACAAACGTACGTACATACTTGTTATCTTGCTATTAACTCTATAAATTGTTGGAGTAACAAAATAATCCCAGCGTTTATACTACTACACATATTATCCGTATACGCGGAAATCCGGAAATCATCATAAATGCCGCAACCAGCCTCGTGAACTAATTTTGGGAAATTAATTTTTCCTCGCTTACCCTCCACGCGTGTATACACAAACTCAGCCGCGCGCGTGGTAACCGTGTGGTATAATCACCCCGTGATAAAGCACAGACGGGAAGGAGAGACAGAGAGAGAGAGAGAGAGAGAGACGAGAAATATAAAACAAAAAAAAATAGGAAGTGTACCACCACCACCACCACCGCACCAAGCAACCCTCCACCTTCCGCAAAAAAAGTCTTCGCAACGGCACGTAGCGCCGCAAATTGAGTTATCCCCCAATATCATCATCACGGAACAACGACCGCGCGTATATATAGTGGGTATACAAGTGCGGGCGTGCACATGTTATAGCCCCCGGCGAAAAAAAACACAAGAGCATCATCGCTAATAGCGTTAAGCCTCATATATATACATTTGTTGTATACACATACGTACACGTGCAGGAGTGTGGAGCTAAAGGCACTTTCTGTGCAAAGCAAATATAGGCAACGGTGCTGAAATCTAATCCTCGCCGCACATGATACCAATATAAGTGATGGTACACCGAACAGCCCGGCGTAGGCGTTAAAACGCAAGGTTTCGTTATATTGCGTGCAATAATTATGTCGACGGTGGTCGTAATAAACAGAACGCGGCCTGCAAGGGGGAAGAAGAATAATCGTGTACGGGAGAGTTTTAATGCGCGCCTTTCCCTGTATATGTGTCCCCACATCACTCTATACGCGCACGCACGAGAGGGGATTATTAGTTTAGGAAGCTCCGCTGCTGTCCTCTCGTGTAGCCATTCGCTCGGGTAATCGATATAAACAACGAGGGGATAACTTTTCTTATTTCTTTTCTCCGGGGGCTGCACAGCCTCCCCTTCTTCTTCTCCTTGCTCCCTTTTTTCCTTTTCTCTCTCTCGCTCGCTCAGGGGTACCCTCCCCGGAGTATCTTGCGTGTGTTTCGGAGCCTTTTGTTTTTGTTTCGCTCTTTTCTTTTCTTATCTCGGGAAGGGCTGGGGGCCGATGATGCCACCGCACGGCTGCTCATGTCCTCGGTCGGTGGTTCGGGCTTTCCCGAGGTGTACGTGCGCCTGGGGCTCTTTCGAGGGTGGGATGTATGTTTTCTATACGTGACGGCGATCAGTGGCTATTGGGATTTGTTTGATCTCGTTTTCATGACGATCACTGTACATACGCGTACAGTTAATGATTTTTCATCGCATTGTGCGATAAAATTGTTTGACGATGAATTTTTTTTCTACCTCCTCCCCCCCCCCCATCTTCGGACGTTGGTGCACAACTAATGACGTTGAAGGATCGCGCCTGTCTTTTCCTTTTTCCCCGTCTCGCCCGGGCTTACCCGGTGAAAAGAATACCGAGCAAGCCTCTTACAGCCATTGTCTTTTTTTTTCCTCCAGGAGGGTATATAGAGCGCCGAGAATATTTTTACCTCCCCCCCCCCATCCATGGACAGCTTATTCTTTTAACCCTCCCTCTGGTCTTCTGGCAGCTTGTTGTTGGTTTTCCCTCCTCGCCGAGTTGCTAATTTCAGAAACAATAAATGCCCGGAGACAATGACGCGCCGTCATGAGCGGGTTTTCCTCGTAAATTGCTTTTTTTCCCTCCACCTCCCTCCCTCCCTTCCTCCTCCTCCTCGACGACGTATTACTTAATGCGAATTCACTCTTTTGTTTCCCTGCTCGCTCTCTCTCTCTCTCTCTGCTATTTGGTTGGCTAGCGATAGCGTATTTACGGCCGGAAAATGTTGTTTCGGAAATTTAACGCCCGAGAAGTTGGACGCCGGCGCGGGGGGTTGGGGAGGTTGGAAAAAAAAAGCTTTTCAGTCATGTCGAGTTAGAGGGCCGTGGTGTACGAGGGGAGAGATTAATATTTGTGCAGCGATCGGGAGGGAAGCCCATAGCGCCCGCTGGCGAGAAATAATTACTGTCTGTCACGTTCGCGGCGAGAGAGCACCGCGCTTTTAATTACGGATTTTTATTATTACGGTCGGGTCGATGGGGGGGGGATGAAGCCCGAGGGGGCGAAATTTTCTTTATTAGGGCTCAAATTGATTCGAGGGCCGATGCCTTTTTTTCTTTTTTCACGCGTTACGGATTATTCTTGGCTACGGGAGCTTCAAATTAAGTTTTATACTTGTTTGCGCCTTGAAACAAAGTTCGTTAATTTGCTGTTTCACTTTCTGAAGTGAAAATTTAATCATGTAAACGTTTTGGCACGAAAAAATGTAATAAGCAATAATAAAAAAAAAAAAGATTCCCTTGCTCAATTTATTTCAAACTTCTTAAAGATACATGGGTAGGCGTAATTACTGGGCGTAACAAGTGTATAATGCGTATCTTGTTAAACTTATCAATTAAAAGCTGAATATTCATAATAACATCTTAATTTCCTCCCCCCCCCCTCCAACACGTGCAAAGCTAAGCATCGTGGGCGTTTTTTAAATTTCAAGCACATAACAAACTTCATGGTGTTATGCATTTTACAATTCATAGTGTAGCACAAAAAAAACTTGTGCGTTATTATCCACTTAACGCAAAGAGAGCCCCTGAATGATTCCATCAAAAATTTTTAGAAAAACAAACAATCCATTCCACCTATCTGTACTGGAAAATTAAATGCGCGCAGCGTGATAGGCTCCAGGTATACCGTAACCCTCTCATCGACCGTCAGCAAACTCAAAGTGTTTTAATCTTCCCTGATGCAGAGTAAACTACGCGAGTCGACGCTTTGGATTATGTATATAAACAAAAAATAAATAAAAGCTAAAATTACTTTTTCACTGGAATAACGAAACAAAAAATGTACGATGTTGTAGGTATAAGGTACGTGTAATAATATATGTGTTTTGTTTGTCTGTTTGCAGTCCGAGCAGTACGGCGCTGGGTTCGCTGGATCAGCTCAAGGAGTACCTGACAACGGCAGGGACCTGCAAGTGCGGCCTCGAGTGTCCGCTTAGGCCCGAGCAAGTTTTCAACTTTGACCCCAAGGTGAGTTTACAATACACACACACGCGCTGTATACCTCGTGTATACTCGAAAATCCCTCCGTTTAATTACCCGAGATTGCTTTTCAATTGCCCCTTCCTCCTCGCGGACCCCTCGTCCGCAAACACCACCGTACATATATATACGTCGGGTTCTCGTACGGCATAACGAGAGAGAGATTAACGATTGCGGGCAAAAAAGAGAGAGAAAGGAAAGAAAGAACGCCCGCATCGCGTCTCCATCAAAAAGCAATTTGCACGCTCTCGGTGTGGCTCGCGTTACATACACACGCAGCGGCGCCCCGAGCCCCTCTCGCGCGCATCAAGGATTTCAAGCAGCCATCATTGTTACACCCATGATGTATAAATCACGTATACGTATACCTTCCTGTGCACCACCACCCTCTCCGGATCTTTTGCACGCTTCATGTACACACCACCTACTTGTTTGTATAACTCTGTTTACGCGCCCTACACGCTTGTCACGTCACTCAGGGTGGATATTCGAGCTGACGACTTGGGTGCGCGCCCAAACGTACACAGATTCGTCCTTCCGTCACATACTTTTGGGCACATTAGTGCTTTTTGCTTCTCTCGTGGATGCGGATGATGATCATTAGATTATTGTCGGCTCGATGGACTTACCGATAAACATTCACTTTTTTGGAGAGTATCGGGGTATAGATATCGATCGTAGTGTTTTTCACGAAGCGACATAACACCACGCTTTTTGGGAAATTGCCTAGCCGTGCGTGTATACGTAGATCGAGTAAAGTATTTACACGCGCCACCCCAATTCCGGCCATGTATAAACAAGCCTCTCTTTTTCTCTTTTGTATATATACGTACATGATGTATTCAAAGAGCTTTGGGGCCGATGCGGATTTCGAGCGAATCCCCCCTGCCCCCCCCCCGTAATTTGTTTTTCATGTCATGATCAGAACACGTGCGGATACATCTCCCTTGTGCTGGTATACAGTGATGTTGCGTCTACGTATTATATACAGCGGTAGAAGCAGCAAAGAGCACTTGCCCTGGGAATTGATTTTTAATACTTTACGTCGTCTTGCATCACCGCTCCCGTGGGGATGGTACGGGTATTACGTATTCAGTACCTTTCTTTCCTTCTCTCTCTCGATCCTTTCGCTATGCCATATTCCGTACCATCGGTAGTCAATCTTTTACACCCCTCAGGAAACTATCGATCTAGGATTTTTTTTTTTTTTCTCAACACGTGAAATTTGAATAGCGCACATTTTGACGTACACAAACTCGTGCAGCAACAAAAGCTGGAAACGACAAACAGTCCCGGTAATTTCGTCCTCTTAAGTCATCATATAAAAAAATGCAACATCACGCCATCCACCGGACGAGCGCGTAACTTATGGAGAAGCGCACGTTCAACAGCACGGCTCGGCAGGCAAGCACTATACACTCGCTCCCTATATTGAGGATCGTCGCAAATCAGCCCCCAGTTGAAGTATTGGATCTACAACACAACGGAAGATCAAAAAGTACTTTTATGGAAAATCAACGAATGCTCAGACTGGCAAGAAATTAGAAGCTCCAAAGTTTATACATTTGTAAACGAGAGAGATAAACTTAACGTCATTCGTTAGCAGTTGTCGACGCACAGATTGCACTGTACTTTGGAGTCACGTTGGTGTTATCATTATCATAATTGCTGTGATGCCGGAGCAGCTCTACTAAACACAGTTAGCGCAATACAAGCGAACGAAACGAGCTTGTAAAATATGAAAACAGAGTATAACAGGTGATGCTCGAGCAAAACGTCATATTACACATATTAATGTATTTGTAGCAGGGGCTCGACTTGCGTGCAATACTTTTTTTTTTTTTTTACATTTTCTATTGAGCTTAGTCCAGACCCGAGAACAAGAGCTTTTCCGAACCAGATTCATCCGGGAGACTAGGGAAACTGTTTATTTCCTTCTCTTTCGGTATGAGCCTTGTTTTTTTGTTGTTGCCTCATGATTTGCAAGTACGCAAGCCTACCTGGCACAGTTTTTAACGAAATATTTGCCAATGGAGTATGAACAACGAGAGGAGAAGCAAGCAAGTATACACCTCATTATGAATAGCGTGGCGTAAATCAAGCAAACAGAGAGAGTTGCGCATGAAAATCGTCACGAGTCTTGATTTCACCAGCGTCTTTACCCACTTACACTTTTTTTTTTTTTTTTCTCATCGGTGCTTCTGCGCATATATATACAAACACGACGCTGCACACGACACGGGGACGACAAGATAAATATCTCTCTCTTGGGGCTCCCTCCCGTGCACCCGCGCAATCGGAGAAAAAGCAGACGCGCTCGCTCGAGCGCACACAACACCGTCGCTCTGCTGGTAAACGAAAGAGGCGAAACTACGGAATGCGCAAACAGAAGCTTCGTACTGTCGGTTGGTGTATGTATAACGTGGAACAAAAATAGTCGCCGTTGCAACAAAAGGAAAAAAAAAAAAAAAAAAAAAAAAAAAAAAGAGTCGAGAGACGCCACTGCTCCCGGTGTATAAAACACAAGGACGCTGCAGTTGGCGAAAAAGGAATATAAATATACATCACAGGAGTGGCGGACGCGGTCGTTGGAAGACGGGAGGGACAAAAGCGCGCAATTATTTCGCCACCTGTCCGTGTGTAGGGCCGCGCGAGGAGGAGGAAGAGACATGTTTCGGGGGCTGCTGCAATTAAATTTATCGCGATGTGTATACATATACGTATAATATACGCGTATACGCCGACGCTGCCGAAAATTTCGAGGAAATAAAGCGTGCTAACGAGCTTCCTGCCCCGTGTATATTATAAATATTATGTGTGTGTGTGTACGCGAGAACGAGGGGGATGCGCTCGCTTATGTTGCACCGCGGAACGCGGGGATGTAATATATTATGTGCCTGTGTGTATGCACCGGGAAAAATATTAATGCTAACGGCTCTCCCGTGCTGTGCGTGTGTGTTGCTTCTTCTGCTCCGGATGGAAAACCTTCCGTGTATCGGGCCCGGCATTTGGATGGGATTCGTATTGTTTCGCGCGTTTATGGTTTATTGTTGTGTTTGTGGTATAATATGGTGTATACGAACGAGGCGCTGGATATTTTTCGTCCGCGATGGGATTAATATTAATGCGAGCGCCAGACGGGAATTTCAATAATTACGGACCGTGAAAGCAATTACGGCGTTAACATTTCTTCAATTTATATACTTTTTTTTTTCTTTTTCCATCCGTGAGCCACGATTATTGTTAGTATTACTGTTATCGTCATCGCATAATGTGTTGCGTATTGTATACGTACGACGGACGAAATGATTTTCGAGTTAACGTATACGCAATATCAATTAATTGGCCATAACGTAGCACGTTTGTGTTGCATGACGTAATCAGTTTTTTTCATGTTTTCATTATTATTACGAAAGTACGATGGTTCATTGTTTGTTTTTTTTTCATTTCAAATTTGGAAAAATAAAGCGTAGAAGAAAAAAAAAATTATCATGTAATGATTTGAAAAATAATCCAAAGAGTTTCCCTCCATGTGTCTGTACTTACTATTGTATAAATAAACATACAAAAAAACAAAAATAGTAGTAATATCAAAGGAGGTCACTTTTTGCTAATTAAGAAAATCTTTATCATCAGTAAAAAAAAAAAAAATTCGATTCCACGTTGAGTAATAATAATTGAGAGGAAACAAAGGTGCGTGCGTGCGTGCAAACGAGCGCTCGAAAATTTTGTGATTTTAATAACTGGACTACAGCAAACCCCGTACGCACGTAAATAATGACAATCATTATTATTTCGTCCGAACGCATGAATATTACAACGATGACGTAATTATCTTCGTTAAATCTAAAAGTACACGGGCCGTGCACGCACGCGAGCTTTTTTTATACTCGCTCAAAACTCATTTCGCGCACACGTGCTCCACCTTTCTTTCCTTCCTTCTTATTTATTTTATTTTGTTTTTTTTATCTGTTAATCGTTTCGTGATAATCATTAATTTTCACACCAATGGAATACACGTGTGCTTGTTTGTGCGTGCTGATAATTGCCCTCTCGCAGCTACTTGATCTTTCAATTATGATTAACGCGATTTCTCACACAACACGACACACGATGAGGCCCAACAGCCCGTCGGTTCTCAGAAAATTGCCATTGTGGGCTCCACGCGCGTGTGTGGTTTTTTTTACTTCACTTCACCGTCCTCGTGAAAGTAAACTGAGTTATTTACGATTGTTTTCCTCCATTATGTACAAACAAAACAAAAAAGCAAGCGTGAGAATTGATTAATTTTCGCTTTACAGCCTTCAATGAGGGGGGGAAAAAAAAATTGGCACGCATTAATTAATTAATTTATCCACGCCGACGCACACGCGCGCCATTAGCACCTAATGTCGCTAATTGAATCGTAATATGGAATTCCTCGTAAGGGCGTTCTCTGTGTGTTTCTTTGTTTGCGGCAATTAAGGCCAATCAATTGTACGAGAGGAAACCTATTTATTTGCACGATAAAACGAACAGAGGAAATCCAGCAAATGGATGACGAAAAAAGTAACCAGCAGCGTCCTCAAAACAACCGCCGATCCATTAATTAAAAGACCCCGTAAAAGCCACCTCGACGCCGCCAATGATAATTCCACAGCGGCGATTGTAATTAAAAAAAGAAAGTCACCCTCGTCCCTTTGCCTTGGCGAACAATAAAAAGGGTAGGGGGGAAGAAAAAAAAAACAAAGAACCCAAAGCACGGGAGGGAGAGAGAAGAAAGTGGAGTAAGGTATACGAATCGGTAGACGCTGGCTTTCGCGCCTCGGGCGGCCACCCGCGCCCTTTCCATTTTATCATTATTTTTCTTTTTTTCGAGAATGCCAAGCCGAACAGCGTATTATACAACAAAGGGGGCGAAGAAGGGAATGAGGAAAAATAAAAAACAATCCAGCTGATCGCGATAAAGACAACTACAGCGGAGCCAAGGGGTTAGGCCAGGTGTAATT